ACTCCTATCATACTTCTTAATGCTCTCATCTCAACTACATTTATTCTGCTTTCATGTTTCTTCTGCCATACCCAAGTTTCACTTCCGTACATGAGTGTCGGAACCAACACCCCCTCATGCACAGCCAAACGAGCCTTGTTAGACACCTTCCGACTGCTCATAAAGGAGTGCAAAGCTCCATTCACCATGTTTCCTGCATTCACTCTTCTTTCGATATCACTCTCACACTTTCCATCTCTTGTAAACTTTGAACCCAGATACACAAACTCTTTCACCTGTTCAATTTGTTCATCTTCAATCACGATATTGATAATTTCTTAATAAAATCAAAAATTGGTCTTTTGAAAAAAATTTTACTATAGAAATGTTCATTAATAAATTGCCTATTCATTGGTGTAAATCGCAAAATAAAATAATACTTACTTTACGAGGAGATGCATGTTATCAATAATAATTTCACTTTTATGTGTTTCGTTGTAAGGAGATTATATTAATATTTATTCCTTTAAAAAAAATTGGATATAGCTTTTATGGAATCAAGCATGGAATTATTACCCAGTAGAAACGTAGTCTAGAACAAAACACGAGCGTCAAAATGATGCAAGGTCATTATGTTAGTGGGCGCGTGTCGAATGTGTCTACGCTCGTCACACGCACACATACACGCCTTTCAGTGATACCAGTTTCTGACGTTTGCAATCAAATTATGCAAATTACTATTTTATTGATTAATTTTAAATAATCGATATAATAAAGATTACGTATTACGTACGAAGATATATTTTATGAGATTATAAAATGGAATAAAATAAATACTAATATAACTTAATTATACATATTTTAATGGTACAAAAATACCGACGTAATAAAATTTAAGAATATTATTAAACACAATTAATTTGCTCGAATACAATAAGCACATAGTGTAATATTTAATTTTAACCGACTTCAAAAAAGGAGGAGGTTTTCAATTCGGTGTATTTTTTTAAAATGTTTTTTACCGCAGCATTCTACAATTTCTAAACCGATTTAGATTTTTTATTTGAAAGGATATACACACAGATTGATCCAATATACACGCTGAAATTTTAATGGTTGTTTTCCCGATGTCAAATTATTTTGTCTTGGTAGTAATTATTTTATTAAAATTAGGATGCAAAAATGGCAGATTTACAATCGAGAAAACAAAACTCGAATGCGATCTCAAACCAATAGCAATATCTCGCAAGTAGGTCGGGCGTGCAGGCTAGCTTATACCGTATTACTATAATAAAGTCTGAAAAAAAATTCGCTGGATGTAACTTAGTGTTACGTCTATCGCACGCGCTACCGCGCGCTGCCTACACAGTGAAGGGCCACTAATAAATCTTCAGAACATGAACTCTCAAGCGTAGTGATACGACATAAACTAGTAAATATAGAATTGTCGTAGAAATCAGTGTACATACATATTGATAACCTCTCCTTTTTGGGAGTCGGTTAAAATAGACTATGTTTGGGTCTAAAATAACATCTGGTTAATGTTTGGGTGTAAAGTGACATCTGGTTAGTAAAGGCGTTCTTATTAATAATATCTTGATGTTGTAAATAGAAAAGTTTTTATTCTATACTCTAAAACGTAGACTATCGGGTGTATTCATAATCATTTTTAAACAGTTCATTAGTTAAAAAGTGTTTTGTCACTTTCTAGCAACAAGTATCTCGCAAATGTCAGAATGAGACAAAACACTTTTTAACTAATGAACTGTTTAAAAATGATTAGGAATACACCCGTTAGTCAATAAACAAAGCAATTAAAATAGTTGCGTTAAAATGGCGTCGCCGAATCGCGATTAGCTGATCACTCCGTATTAGTTTTAAATAGGCACCCATTGTTAATATTATGTTAATACTTAGAGAAGTAGGTATCTATATATAAACATTTGAGTTTCACAGAGAGCTTTGCGATTAAACGTTTTAAACACAAATAGAAAATAAATATTTTTAAAAGAAAATTCTGATTTTTCCCCACAACTAGCAACATTTTTATTAGGATAGCTTAGGTAAGTATTTTTTTAGTTTTACGTAGTTATAATAAATTAACCCTAGAAAGATAACCTACGCTTCAGAGGCGCCCGCGTCGGTTTGACATCGCTGTCTCTTTATAATGAGCGCGCGTATCTATCTACCTGTCCTTATAAGTTAGCTCAGTGGTCGGTGCACAAAGTCGCGGGACGGCCGTTTTTACGCGGTAAGTACTATAGTTTTGCAGTTATGACTAAGTGTTGCGCTCCAAAGGCGCATGGTTATCTTTATTGTAACTTTTAGTGAAAGTATGAATTTGTTTATACTTACATAAAATGTTTATTATAACTGTTTATTTCTTTGTTTTAGCATAAAATCTTTTCGCCTTCATCATGACGAGCCGGAGAACACTATCTGATGATGCAATATCTAGGTTTATCGCTGAAGAGGAAGAGAGCGAGCATGAACGAGAGCAAGGAAGTGACAGTGAGATAGAAGATAATTTGAGTGAAGATGACATACAGAGTGATTTCGAAGACGAGTTTATAGATGATGAGGTGCCACAACAATTGAATGATACACAAAATGAAGACGATATAAGTCCGCCTGTATCTTCAGAGCCCACTGGAACTTCGGAATCATCCCGTCGTGACCACCGCATAATTGTTCCTGATCACCGTGTGCTTAGGGGTAAGAACCAACATTGCTGGTCGACAATAAAAGGACAAAGTCGCGGAAGGACATCTGCCATAAATATTATTCGCACAAGTAGAGGTCCAACGCGCATGTGTCGAAATATATGTGACCCAATCTTATGTTTTAATTTGTTTGTTACCGACGAAATAGTGGATGAGGTCGTCCGTTGGACGAATGTTGAGATCTCTGTGAAACGTCGAGATAACATGATCAAAGCCACTTTCAGAGATACGTCTGTGACAGAAGTCCAAGCTTTGTTTGCGATACTGACTTTGAGTGCAGCAATGAAAGACAATCACTTGTCTACTGATGAGCTGTTCGATAGTAGTTTTTCAGGTACACGGTACGTGGCAGTGATGAGTAGGGATCGTTTTGATTTCCTGCTTAGATGTCTACGATTTGATGACAAGTCTATACAACCCTCTTTACGTCATGAAGATCCATTCATACACATTAGAAAAATATGGGAATTATTTGTAACTCAGTGTAAACTGAATTATACACCAGGAGAGCATGTCACAATAGATGAGCAATTATTAGGGTTTCGAGGACGGTGTCCGTTCCGCATGTATATCCCCAATAAACCCAGTAAATATGGAATTAAAATCCCTATGCTGTGTGACAGCGGAACAAAGTACATGCTAAATGCAATGCCGTATATTGGCAGAGCTACGAACACTAATGGGATGCCACAAGGAGAATTTTATGTAAAGGAGTTGTCTCGGCCCTTGCATGGCACAAACCGAAATATAACTTGTGACAATTGGTTCACTTCGGTTCCTCTCGCGAAATCCCTACTTCAGGAACCGTACAAACTAACCCTCGTTGGCACTTTACGATCCAATAAACGAGAAATCCCCGAAGAACTGAAAAACACTCGGTCTCGTTCGGTAGGCACGTCAATGTTCTGCTACGATGGATGTTTGACCCTAGTCTCGTACAAACCGAAGCCCTCTAAGATGGTTTACCTGCTATCATCGTGTGATGAAGACGGTGTCATCAACCCAATAACTGGTAAGCCTGAAATTATAATGTATTATAATCAGACCAAAGGCGGGGTGGACACTTTCGATCAAATGTGTTCCTCAATGTCATGTTCGAGGAAAACCAATAGATGGCCAATGTCTATGTTTTATGGCATTCTGAACATAGCATTCGTCAATTCTTATGTTATATATTGTCACAACATTCTTGCGAAAAATGAAAAGCCTCTAAATAGAAGGAGTTATATGAAAAAGTTAAGCGCCCAGTTATCTGAATCGTGGATGAAGGAAAGACTGGAAGCTCCTACTTTGCCAAAGCATGTGAGAGATAATATCGCAAATATTCTTCCGAAACCGGTTGTGCAGAACGATACAGATAATGAAGAAGAACCTCCAGCCAAGAAAAGGCGGTACTGCACCTTTTGCACTAATAAAAAAAGAGAATGTCTAAGATGACTTGCGTCAAATGCAGGAAAACAGTTTGCGGCGAACACAAAAATGATGCTTGTTTTGAATGCCTATCAAACCAAATTTGAGCCAAACGATTATAGTTTTGACTGATTTTTTTTTTAGTTGATTAGTTAGTAAGAAATAATATAATTCGTTTTTAAGAAAAAAATTATTATTTTTTGATACTATGTTCTTGTAAACAGAAGACTGCTAATTTTGTTGATTTTTTCTAGAGGTTTTTTGATTTAAGTTTAATGTTTAAAATATATAACATATTTCACTAAAAAAAGTTTTTTATTATTAGTTCATTAACCACATTTCAAAACAATCAAGTAAATAAACACAATAAATAGGTATTTCGTTAAAAAAAAATTATTAATATATCGTGCGCCTCCGAAGCGCATGGTTATCTTTTGTGACAGTCAAAATATGGTTATCTTTCTAGGGTTAAATATATAAACTTGTATGTGAAATGCAGTACCATTACTTCTTTTATGTTTATCATCACTGTTGTGACAATATTTTACAACAAAAACGGTTATTTTTACTATTTTTCGCGAGCTCTTCTCCGTAAGATATGACGTTGCGCACTGACGCGTCGCTGCGCGGTTTGAACTAACGCGGTTTCGCGTTAAGAAGGGTCCACACGGCAGCGACTTTAATCGATAGCGACTCGCTGGCGATGTCAAAATCTGTGTGTCGACGTGAATATTAGCAGCGATTTATAGTCGCTGTCAATGCGACGATCGAATCGCTGTCAATGCGGCGATCGAATCGCTGTAAATCTGAAAAGTCGACAGTCGCCAAACAGTCGCCAGCGACATCGTTGCTGTGTGGACGTGTACGCCGTGCGTGAGCGATTTTAAAATGGCGGACCTACGTAAATATTCTCGGGCTTTTGTAACTGAATTTATAGAATTATACCGGGAATTACCTTCATTATGGATGGTTAAGAGTAAAGATTACTCAAACAGAGATTTAAAGTCACAAAGCTATGAGATATTAGTGGGAAAATTTAAGGAGGTGGAGCCAAACGCTGATCGAGATTTTGTGTTAAAAAAAATTAAAAATATGAGGGATGTTTGGCGAAGACAACACGAAAAGATTGAAAAAAGCTTGAAATCCGGAATGGCTGTGGAAGATATTCCTACTCCATCATTATGGTATTATGATTTACTCAACTTCTTGAAAGATCAAGAGACGACTAGAAGTTCAATAACTAACATTAAAATAGGAAACAAAGATCGGGTAAGATGCGAAATAAAAATACAATTTATGCTTTAGGACTCGTATACTATATTTGTTTATTCATATTGTTATCAAATAACATTATGTAAAGGTATTTAAATTAGTGAAACGGTTTTGCCACAAAACACTACCCTCATTATTGAAATATTGCATATATTGATCTCGAACATATCTAGCCATGGTTTGACTTTGACCTTGATTCGTTATTTGTAAATCTAACAATTCGTTGTTGGCTCTGTAACCTGTGCTTATGTTGCCATCTTCTAAATTTTCAATATCCACACCCACTCGGATATATTGATTACAATTTCGACGTAAAAAGTTATGCAATATACATGCTGCCATTACTATTTTGTCAATGGTTTTCACATCTAAATTGATTGAAGTTTTGAATATTCGGAATCGATTGACTAAAATACCAAAAACGTTTTCAATAATGCGACAGGCTCTTGATAGTCTATAATTGAATATTCTTTGTTGAGGACTTAAGTATGGACCTGGGTAAGGTTTCATCAAATCTGGGCGTAAAGAAAATGCATCATCCCCCACGAAGACGTATGGCAAAACAGTTTCACTGTTCATTATCCTTGCTACCCTAGGAATATTTAAGGATCCTGTGTTTAGTTTCTCATAAAATATACTTCTATTAATAACTCCACCATCAGATATTCGGCCATTAATTCCTATATCTACCATTATAAATTCGTAATTTGCATTTGCTATTGCTAATAAAACAACGCTGAAATCCTTTTTATAGTTAAAGTAGTATGATCCACTATTTGCTGGGGGCACAATTTTTACATGTTTCCCGTCTATAGCTCCTAAGCAATGAGGAAACCTCCACCTTTCTTCAAATGTTTTTGCTATGTCTAACCATTCTTCTTCAGTTTCAGGAAACTAGAACAAAAATAGGTATTTATATTTATATTTTATTTCAGGGACCTGTCGATGAGGAATTAGGAATAAATAGAAATGAAGATGTAGATTCTGATACATTTTCGGAGTCAACGCAATCACCAGCACCCTCAACAGTGTCTACTACGGCATCTCGTGATAGTAATAAAAAAAAGAAGAGACCAAGAGAAGATATTCTTAGTAAAATCAATGCTCATCTCAGCGAACCTATTCCGACAGACCGCTGGGAACATACAGCAAAATCATGGGCTGGTATTTTAAAGAGTTTACCAAATGATCAACAAATTTTTGCGGAGAAATTAATTAACAACGTTTTGTTTGAAGCACGAATGAATTCCCTCTCTCGTCAAAGTCGTATTGATGTAAATCATAATGTTAATATACAATTGCTTTCTAAAAATGAAAATGTTCAAAGTGCTCATAATTCAAATGCTACTACTGATGATACTTTTTCACAAAGCCTTTTGATAGATCCTGTGAGTGGTCAATTAATTCATGTTCCTCAGGAGACGTACAATCAGTCACTAGAAATTGCAGAAACCCGATTGCTCAATTCTAAAACATCTCAAAAGCTTACGATGTATTTTAATAATTTTCAACCATAATGTATAACTGTTAGCACATAGTAAATACGTAACAGAAAAGTTTAGTTTTACTAAAAAGCACCTTTAAACCTACCTTTAAATATTCTTCTTGCAATGTAGCTATGATCGCATCACATGTTTCTGGAATTATCTTGCTTAGAGATTGCTTAGATATTGCAACGCTGTATTGTAAATCCTCATAAGATCGTCCGGTTGCTAGAAATCGCAATGTAGCTGATAATCGTTCGTGAGCTGTTATCGCTTTTCTCATGCACGTATCTTGTTTTGTTAGCATTGGCTCCAACAGAGACAACAACTGTTGATATGTACAAGAGTCCATTCGTAAATAGTTTCTAAAATCTTTCGGTTCTTGTAGTGCTAGCTCGGCCATTAAATTTATATGCGAATATCTTGGTCTTTGAAGTAACCATTTTTTCGCCCAACATCTTCTATTTTTCTTTTCTCTCTCTTTGTCATATATGCAAACGGCTGCTAGCGCTAGTAACATTCGACGCCTTTCTTCGGACATTACAAAGAAACGTTCACAAATAAAAAAGGTGAATAACAGACACCGGTATACACATCTACTTTCCCCTATATATTATTATACTCTTTGCGTCTACTGCCTTCTACTGCGAAACGAATACTGATAAATCGCTATAATATAGACACAAAAATCGCTAGCGAGTCACCGTCGATTAAAGTCGCTGCATGTGTACCGGGCTTTTTAACTTGCTTCACTTTCCGTGCGCGATGCGCGTACTAGTATTCTATGCGTAATAATTCTATGGAATCAAGATTATGTAGAAATATAATGTGTTTTTTATTTGTTGATATATCTTTTAAATAAAAAGTAGATAGCTCCTAAAAACCACACAAATAACGACTAGCGCGACATTTTGCTCAACCTGCGCCTTAATATAAATCATTACCTTTTCAAAGAAGACAGTTTCTTTTTGTATGGAGAATGGGCCCACCACAAATTTTAGAGAACCTTAATGAAATGCATGTCGATTAATTTATTGTAATCTATAGATTACAATAGTAATATTAGTTTCACCGTATCTAATGGGAATACTGAGTAATTAGCAAATAAAATATGTATCTTATTATAACCTAACAACAAACTAAAAGCTATTTTCTATTAGCTTTCACCGGTATTATAAGTTAAAATAGTGCACTGTTCAATACATAATAGTATAAAACAAAGTTGTATTTACATTCAGCATTTATAGGTACGTTAAAATTGATGGAAAATATTTTTAGTAGTTCTGGCAAAATAATATAGTGCATGTCTGTGCATGAATATGGTATGGATACTATTTTTTACAAGTATTGTTTGTGATTATACATCCCAAATAACGTTTAAGTACTTAATATGATTAAAACCAAGATGAGTCAGGGATAATGTGTACATTTATAATATTACCTACACACACTATATAGTAAGAAAGATGTTTTGAACTGGTTGAATAAGGATAAAAACACAAGTTATAATGCATCTACATTTATTATAGTAAATCATAATTTCCAAAGTAGTCTATTAACAGTAGAACAAATAGACAGGCACGGTGTCAAAACTTTGTTTGAAAATAATATATTAACTGATTAGGTTAGGTTAGATACCTCAAACATTTTTATCTGTTATTACACACTGATAAAAAGTGAGGAAGTAAGATGTTTTAAATTGTTTATGGAAGGATAATAAAACACATGTATAATTTAATTGTATTTGTTATTGTAAATCATTTCAAAATATTTTTTCTAAATAATTTGATGATAACATGTCCTTTTATGATATTGGCAGGAATTCGAAGAACATTTTCAATGATATGATAGAAGACTGTTGTCTTCAATATCCATACTCTTTTTTGTCTCTGCCTACGGGCAGCTCTGCAAGCTTTTAGCCTGCAAAGCATACATATATGTTCTCAGCGATTGACCTGAAAAAGTTAATTATTGTAAAGAGTGCCTATACTAAATATTATATTTATTTCATTCTATGTAGCTTGTGGAGACTATGTTTATATATGAATTGCATTTTAAATACTACAATTCCAAAAAAAAACATGTATATTTATGACACTGTCAGGAATTAAAAAGACATTTTCAATAATAAGAGATAAGTGTGGATGGTGGATAGACTAGGTACGACTAACCGCAGATAAACGATACTTTTACTTGGTATATATATATATACTTTGTTATCACTTCACAAACTGACAGAGTTACCCTTCACTCCTTTACTTACTGGCGGTTACAAAACAACTGCCCGATCTATCCGTCACAGATGCCTTTTATACAATATAAATAATAACCTAATAATGAACATTAATATGCTTATTACTACAAATATTGCATCATAAATTATAAAATAACTATCAATCAATATTGCAACGACTAAACACTAATAACAATTGTTTATACACATTTAATAACATTAATCTTAGGTTCACCATAAGCTGAGAAGCGGAAGGCGTCAGTTATTATTTAATCATCATTTATTATTATAAAATTTATGTTATTAATCTAATAAAGGTTTTGCAATTTTCTGGGAAATTAAAATAAACTTAATTATGCAACGAGCTTGTGAACCCAGGACCGGAAGACGATAACATAAGACATTAAAGATCCTTCAATGTCATTAAACTATATTTCCATATTTTTATCAGAATTTTGTTATCTATGCGTATATGTTAAATAATTAGGAAATTATTATAAAATATACACGATTAATTAGCTCCAGTTGATCAAATACAAAAATAGTAATTACGTATTTACATCAACAATATTTGACTATATAAAAGTTGTCTAACTTTTTATTTTCACTGGTTTCATGTAGGAGAAAAATATATAGTTTTTTTCATGACAAAATAATATTCCTTTCTGCAGAGTTAACAACACAGCAGTATAAGCATAATAGAAAAATCTGATTCTGTCGCAGGATATGGTCCAAAGTTATATAATACTTGGGATTTTTATATATTATTATAACATTGTAATTTCTCAATTTACATAATATATAATCAGTCTTATGGAAGTCTCCTGAAGGTGATTTGTCTGGCAGTTTGAAGTTTATCAGCTTTATTACAGTCCTAAGTGTTTTTGTAAATTCAATAGCAATTTTAAGGATATCACCCATTACACAAATAAAATGGCTTAACTATGTCACAATACTTATGCAAACTATCTAATATTTAATTTAGATATTACTAATAACATAAAACTTTAATACATTGTCACTTGTTTTAGGTTATTCAACACAAATTATAGATTTTCTAAAATTCTAGGTGGAAATTAAACTCATGTATTACATACATATGTAGAAGATAAATACATAATTTGGAATAGTAATACATAACCTGCATGATATTATCCATTTTATGATACGAATATCATTGATTTATATGTTACTAACTCAATGACGAATATAATGTATATCCATGTATCCATACACTTGTGCATCGATGAGAGGATATTTTATTGTCTTGTAATGTAAACAAACTGTAAAAAATGTTTATACTTAACTATAAATTTTATGTTTTTGTTACCAAAAAAGAATATACCACAATTAACCAGTAACTACAGAATTTATTCTTACACTAGTGATGCAACTCGTACTCTGTTTTCAATCGATTCAATCGAGTGAATTTGTGTAACTCGGTACTCGAGTGAAAATAAATTTTACTCGAGTCCGCTTGCACTCGAGTTACCGATTGAACTCGGCGCACCGCACCGTGTAGATTCGGAGATCGCTAGATAGATGTCAGTTCACTAATTCACTAATTCACTTTAGTATAAGGCGCCGTGGGTGACGTCACTGGTTACATCCAAATTCAAACTTGCATCTGTCATGTTGTTGTCAAATATGAACTTAGTTTGATTTATAATATCGTGTTTGTGATATCATTGTTGTTTATTTTTTGTTACTTCGTATAAGCAATGCATAACATAAAAGGTGATTTAAATGTACTTGTTTGTTTAAAGTATGAATGATAGCAATGAAACAACAAAATAAAAATCGTCAGTGTCATTATTTTAAAAAATGGAAGCGATTTGTAAGATATGCAAAAAGCAGTTTATAGATTTTGAAATACTCCACATATGTGTAGTAAATACGAAACATGGAAATACTACAAATAAATAAATAATAACCCTTTCGGCCCGCTCCAATACAATTGTGCGGGTCACAAAGTCGAGTATAGCTCATTAGTTTTACGTTGGCAGTGGACGGGCCCAGTATTGTACGATTATGCGTGAAGCGAACTTTCACCTCCCGCGCAAATTTTGTCCGACGCGCAGTCTGCGAGCAGGTTTCAACCTGTACACTTCGTGACTGATTGCGCTCCCCGACTTGGCAAAAGTAAGTACCTACTGTTGTTTTATTTTGAAAGTGTAGTAATATACGAGTTATTGATTAGAAAAATAGTTAAACATAGGATGTTTTTGTGATAACAGTGACTATTGGCAAGCAAACGCTTTGGCTTAACGGATTAACGAACTTTAATGACACAATTGTTTCAACGTGGGCCCTACATAACCTCATGCGTATTTTAAGTTTCTAATGATTATTCATTTTTCGCAGTTTCCGCACTATGTTTCCACTTTTAAACGACGCTGCTATCGAAGAGATGCTTTATGACTCTGGGGACGAGGGCGATGACAACGACGAAATCGATACGGACTACTTTATTGAAGAAAACCCCGAACATTCAAGTTCCTCTTCTTCTGATGAAGGCGAAGAAAATGATGACGATAACATACCTTTGAGTATGCTAGCAGGATGGCAGAAGAAGCCCTTCAATGGCAAACCTCTTCCAGAAGATGCTGTTCGTGACCCAGGAGATATTAAAACCCCATACGAATATTTCGAGCGCTATTTTACTGACGAGCTCATGGAACAGATGGCTTTGACCACAAATCAATATTATATGGCCAATACTGGTATACAAATGAAACCTGTTTGTTCTTTACTAGATATAAAGAAGTTTTTCGGAATACATGCCATTGTTGGGTGTATAAAATTTCCAAGACTGAAGATGATTTGGAACGAAAAATACAGGTACGACCCGATTGCAAATGCAATGTCTAGGGAACGGTTTTTCCTTCTCAGGACAAACTTGCATTTTGTAGACGTGACAGCGGTGAATCAGACTGAGGAACAAACCAAAAATAGATTATGGAGGGTGCAGCCTGTCATTGATGCCGTCCGAAAAAGGTGCCTGCAGTTGCCAAGAGATGCTGGTAACTATTCAATCGATGAACAAATGATACCTTTTGAAGGTCGATGCGATTTGAAAGTAGTCGTAAAAAACAAACCTCGTCCAGCAGGATTGAAGAATTTCGTTTTAACTACCTCCAAGGGACAAGTTCTAGACTTCGAAATTTATCAAGGCTCTACTACAAACTTACCCGATTCGGAGCATTTCGGAGTTGGTGCTGCTGTTGTATTACGCTTGGCCAATACACTCCCAGAAGGCAGTTTTATTTATTTCGATAGGTATTTTTCCTCACTGCCGTTGATGAAATAGTTAGTTAAAAGAAAAATAGAAGGAACAGGAACTTTGATGGCCAATCGATTTAATACTAAAAAGAAAACGCTCTATGAATTCAAGAAGGATAATAGGATGGCTAGAGGAGAAGATGAGGAGTTTGTCAACAGGGAAAACACCTTGAGCGTCATAAAATGGAAGGACAACAAAGGGGTACTCATGGTCTCAACTGCTTTTGGAGCAGAGCCGCGAACCCAGGTGTCAAGATGGGATAAAAAGAGGAAACGGTACATCGAAGTCTCATGCCCAGCCATAGTTAAAAATTACAACACTTTCATGGGTGGTGTTGATGTTTGCGACCAGATGATGGAGGCTTATCGAACATGGCGTAAAACCAGAAAGTGGCCTGTGAAAGTGATCATCCACATGTTTGACCTGGCTATAGTAAATTCTTGGTTCGAGTATCGTGCTGACTGCAAAGCCCAGAATCGAAAATCTAAGGACATCATGGATTTGCTGGCGTTCAGGTTATCTATTAGTGACCACCTTCTAAATGGTCCTCCAAGAAAGAGACCAAGGGAAGATTTGGAATTGCTGATATGCCTACCTCTTGTAAATACAGAGTGACGTCTCTTCCCACAGTCGACCGACAGTACGACGGTTTTAATCATTGGCCAGTCTTCGACACTCTGAAGCAGCCTCGTTGCTGTCGTGCTCCTGGCTGCACTAGTCGTAGTCGTTGTCGTTGCTCAAAGTGTGATATTTACTTGTGCCTTAATAAAGACCGCAATTGTTTTTTTGATTTTCACAACAAAGACTGAATTTAATTAATACTATTATTAAACTTTGAGAAAATTGATCGCATTTCATGTTAAGTTGATCTCATTTAAAGCATTTGTTGATTATTATTACTGTAAAACTAGTACAAAGTTGTGTTTGTGATTTATAATAAATATTTTTGTAACTTTCATGTTCATTTCATTCATGGTCTCTTTTAAGAAAAACGTAAAAAAGGAGGCATTAGGCCCAACTTGATACAACTGTGACACTCACAGTTGTACGTGGGAAATGAAGGGCCCAGTATGATACAATTGTGACCTTCACAATTGTACGTAGGAAATGAAGGGCCTAGTTTGATACAATTGTTGGTATATGAATTGTCCAAGATGGCGGCTGAAAATCTGGAAAATTATAGCGTATTCGTAAGCTGCGGCCCGAAATTACCTAAGATTCAAGTAAAAAATTACAAATTTCTTAGTAGTTTAAGCGCGGGTCCGAAAGGGATAAATATTTGTATTTTATTTCATATTGCCACATATTACTTCATTACATTGATTCAGGAAAGGGAAAATATATGGGACAAGTCACACGTAGACTTTAAAAATAAAAATTTAAAAACAAAAGCTTGGGAACAAATATCAAAAGTTTTATTTCCTGATTACGAGAATTTCACACCTGAACGAAAAAACAAAGTTGGTGAGTTTACAGTATGCATATTTATTGTTTTTTTTTTAATAATTAGTATTATACCTTATTTAGCTGCTAAGGCAGAGTTCCTCTAGTCATAAAATAGGTCGCAAAATGCTGTCTTATGACATTCGGTGCTGTCTGTTCTTCATCTGCGGGTTGTATTGGGAGAAATTCATCAACACTTATAGCAAATTTATCTCTTTGTCTAAAACCATCTCGAACAGCGACAAAATTTTGTAGTACACAACATGCTTTTATTATGTCAGTGGCGAAGTTATAGGACACGTCTATCGGTCTATGAAAAATGCGCCATTTGTTTGCCATAATCCCAAAAGCGCATTCGACATATCCTCTGGCCCTGCTTAGACGATAATTGAAAACCTTTTGTTGTAAGTCGAGATTTTGACCACCATATGGACGCATATTTTGCTCAGTCCAAAAGCTTCCGTCACCCACAAATACATACGGGGTTGGTGTATTGAAACCAGAGAGTGGCTGGGGATGAGGTAGTGGTAAGTTGTTGTTAATCATTAGCTCGTACAGTTTGGAATTTTGAAACACGGTTGAATCGCATTCTTTTCCGTATGCACCGATGTCGACAAAAATGAATTAGTAATTTGAATCCACAATAGCTAGCAACACAATCGAAAAGAAGGCTTTATAATTAAAAAAAGTAAGCCACTGTTTGCAGGATTACACACGCGGATGTGTTTGCCGTCGATGGCACCAACACAGTGAGGAAAATTTGCCTTTACATCAAAATCCCTCGCTATTGTTGTTTGGAATCTTTCAACTGTCAGTTCTGGGATGTTGTCTCGAAGAAGATTTGTCCATATAGCTCGACAAATTCTATGTATCATATACGCATTAGTAGATTTCCCCCGTTTGAATTTCAAATGTAAATCCGTTATTGAATTTCCACTTCCTAGGTATCTGAAACAAAAACAATTATTTTAATAATTATGAGATAGATAGATAAATTCTTTATTGCTCATAAGAACTAATTAATACTAAAAGGCGGCCTTATCGCTTGATGTTATCTCTTGCAGGCGACCCTTGATGAGGGAAAATAAAAATTAATTAGGTATTGTGTGTCATAAGCAGAGGTCGGAATCTGTCGGTCATTCCAGGTCTGCATTCAAGTGAATACGATTAGGGCCCGGTTTGTAAGAGAATGACCTGCAGATTCCGATCTCTGGTTATAAGTCGGTTAATTTTTTTATCAGGCACTCTTTCTCTTTTTAAGTATACCCATACATTTTGGTTCAGTAGGTATTGCACTTTTATAGGTAACAGCTGTTATTTTTTTCGCGATTCCAGAGTTGGTCACATAGTGAAAGTTGTTTGTTATCGATTGTCTGAATATGTCAGTAAATTTTCTCGGGTAATCAAAAATTCACGATGTATAGTATAACTTATTAAATCTTGTTTACTATTGGTTTTGCAGGTAATGATTTAGTGAAGAAATGGAGAAGTATCAAAGATAATTTCTTCAGATACTTAAAAAAAAATAAAGGAAGCATCAAAATCGGGCTCGGGCGCTACGAATCTGAAAAAGTATCATTTATATAACCAACTTCTTTTTTTGAGAAGAGTGGAAAATGCCACCGAATCTAGCTTAAACTCGCCTAGAGAAAGCAACACTGAATCTACGTCTACAAATGATGAAATTACTATAGACGAGTCTCCGCGCTATGTTCCAGTCGCGCGCAAAAGGGCAATGCAAATAGATGAGTTTGAAAGAGAAGGATTAAAACTTCTCAAGGAGCCGGAAAATCGCCATATGTCCTTTTTTAGAGGTATATTGCCATCAATACAAGGTTTTTCCGACCGAGAAACTTTCAGTTTCCAAAGTAAAGTAATACAAATTATAAACGAAATGCGGTATGGACAAACATCATCATATGTGTGTGGCCCATCAACGTCTCAACAACCATTATCATGTGGGTATCAAACAACAAATTTTCAAAGTACATACAATTCTGATTATAATAATTCAATTACATGTCCAGATCAAGCATCTCAAGCAAGTGAAGAAACCGAATACGATTTTTCAAATACGTAATTACTGGATAAAGTCTTGGAATATTTCCACTGTTCCTGTCATATTAAAATCTTTTTAATTGAAAACTCCTTGGTTTTAAAAATCGAATACCATTTATTTATTTTAAAAAAGATTCTCCGTCTTGTCACTAGGTTTTGTTAAACTTGTTTAGTCGTTGAGAAAATGGAATTGACTCGAGAAAATTCAAGAGCGATGATTTATTATGACTTTCGAAGTGGTTTAACACAAAAACAGTGTGTTGACCGGATGATTTCTGCATTTGGTGATGAAGCCCCATCCAAAACCACAATTTATCGCTGGTTTGCTGAATTTCAACGTGGACGTGTCAAGCTCAGTGATGATTCCCGTCAAGGTCGTCCAAAAACTGCAGTCACCCAAGAAACCGTTGATGCTGTGTGCAAGCTGATTGAGGAAGATCGACATGTGACATACCGCGAAATTCAGGCAACTTTAGACATTGGCATGAGTCAAATACAAATAATCTTGCATGAACAATTAGGTGTAAAAAAGTTATTTTCCCGATGGATACCGCATTCGCTCTGTGAAGAGCAAAACGCGGCTCGTGTTACTTGGTGCGTCAGAACTCTCGAAAGATTCCACGCAGGATCCTCAAATGCTGTATACAACATCGTATCAGGTGACGAATCCTGGATATACGCGTACGAACCCGAAACAAAAAACCAGTCACGAGTTTGGGTGTTCGAAAATGAGTTAAAGCCAACAAAAATTGTTCGTTCACGGAGTGTTGCAAAAAAAAATGGTGGCCACGTTTGTCTCCAAAACCGGCCATGTTACGACTATTCCTTTTGAGGGACAAAGAACGGTTAATGCAGAATGGTATGCTAGCATTTGTTTGCCACAGGTCGTTTCTGAACTCCGTAAAGAGAACTGCAACCGCCGCACCATCCTCCATCACGACAATGCGAGGTCTCACACCGCACACAGAACAAAAGAGTAATTAGAGAAAGATAGATACAGCCGCGACCTAAGCCCAAACGATTTCTATACTTTCCCTAAAACGAAGAATAAATTGCGTGGACAGAGATTTTCATCACATGAAAAAGCTGTGGACGCCTACAAAACGGCCAATTTGGAGACCCCAACTTCCGAATGGAATGGTTGCTTCAATGATTGGTTCCATCGTATGGAAAAATGTGTCAAATTTCGCGGAGAATACTTCGAAAAGCAATAAATACATTTTTAAATAGTAATGTTGTGTCACTTCCTTGATTCCCGAAATTTTCAGTGCCGCCCTCGTATGTGTGGTTCTAGGGACTTCAATAAACATTCGAAGCTGGATACACTCATTCTAAAAAAATTATAAAACTTCTTTTCGTCTAATAGCAACTCCCGATATTCTAACAAAAAAAACTTACCATTACTATTTCTTAATAAAATGGACAAATCCAATACCGTCTTGTGATCTTGCGTCGATTTCGGCGGTGACGTAGTAATAGGAGCAATGCTAGACGTCTTTTCCAATCCATGCTTTCCTACAGACTGA